GTGACATCAAGACAAAAATAAATAGTTCTAATACAGTCAGAACATCTGATTGCTACGAATACGATCCAAATAGAAACCCAGCTTTATTAAACTTAAATCTTATCTGCTGTAGTTCTGGTTTGATTATGATCAAAATATTTTTTTTTTCAGCTGCATGGAATATTTTTCGTAAACGTTATGGTTTCTAGGATGCTGAATCCAAAAATGACTTCAATTTCCCCCTATCACGAACGGTTTTTTGGAAAATAATAGGGGTTTACAATAAAAAATCATAACAGTGATGAAAAAAATCACTAATTTTATTACATTGAACTAAACATATTATTTCTCATAATTAAACAAACAATTCCTTCATGATATATTTAACATTCTGTGTTCAGTCTTTTTGCCTGTGAAACCTTCTCTTCTTCTCTTTGATGCTCCTCCGAACATGCTTTCGCTTTCCATTTTCCGTTTCCCACTTGATCATCCAGCAGCAGTCAGCTAGCCAATTCGCATTCCATCTTCCTTGGTAGCGTCTTTCGATATCACGGACATCCTGGTGAAATCGTTCACCCTGCTCTTCACTATAGGCTCCCAAGTTTTCGGAAAATAGTCGACATGGGAGTGTAGGAAATGAACTTTTAAGCTCATCTTGCAACCTTGAGCTTTATATGCAGCCAACATGCGTTGTACATTGGTTTTGTAGAGAGGGTCTTTAGCGTTCCCCAAAAACTTGTGCGCTACGTCTTTGAAGGAGTCCCATGCTTCTTTTTCTTTTTCTCCCATTGTTTCTGAAAAGAAGGGTTGAGTTAACAGTTTTCATATGTCGGGACCAGTAAAAACTGCCTCTTTCAGCTTGGCTTCAGACAGTTTTGGGAACTTGGAACACAAATATGTGAAACATTCTCCATCTTTTGGCAGTGATTTTTCAAACTGCTTCATGAGCCCTAATTTAATATGAAGAGATGGTAATAAAAAATCTTTTCAGGTGGAACCAAGGTCGTATTAATTACGTTTTTTTCACCGGGGATTAAGGCATCTCGAAGTGGCCAGTGAGTTTTGGAGGCCTCTGGCTCGACTGTCCCACAGGCACAAGAAGCAGGGATGTTTTGTATAACTTGCCTGCTGGCCCAACAACATGGTTAATATTTTGAAGTTTTCACAAATCATCCATTGATGTTCTTGATAGTTGACTTTCTCAAGAATCACAGCCAAATCATTGTAGTTTTCTTCCAAATGCACCGAGTGTCCCATAGGAATTTATTCAAATGTATTTCCATTATACAGCAAGACTACTTTGAGGCTTGTTTTAGACGAATCAATGAAAATGCGCCACTCAGATGGATCATATTCTATTTCAAAGCATTTCATGAGCCCTTGAACATCATTACAAAAAACGAGATTTCTCTCTTTGGAGAAAAACTGAGTGAATTCGTTCTCTTGGTGCCGGTACAACGAGAATTGAATTGAATTGAATTTAATTTATTTACATTCTATAAATCCTAAGTAGGTTAGTACCTTTGGATACGGAACAAGTCAAAAGGTTACATACATAAGTACAGGCAATTTAGCTTAAAAATTAATATTATTTACATTGAAGTATTCATCTAAAGAGTAGAAGGAATGAGCATGTAGATAATTCTTTAACTCTGATTTAAACTTTTTAGTATCATTGCCCAAGTTTTTAATACTTTGTGGCAGATTGTTGAACACTTTTATGCCAGTAAAGTAGACTCCTTTTTGATATACTGATAAAGTTGATGAGGGTAGGTGGAAGTTATATTTTTGNGGGGGGGGGGGACTGGTATTTCAGAGCTATGAGGCACTGGACGAATAGCTGAATTAAGGTTTGAGTAAGATATTTTCTTTTTATTTTTTTGTATTAAAGCCTTTCGCATCTACCGAACAGAAATAACAATCAGTCGTGAGGTTTCGCTGTTCACGCCACATCATAGGAATGCCAAAACGAAATGAGTTTTTCTTACCCTTAAACCACAAATGAAGATCTTCCTCGCACCTTCTGCACACCTTGTGAGGAGCCCAAGGTTTGTCTTGATTCCCAAGTTTCAATTTGAAATAAGCAAAATACACTTTCTTCACAAAATAACTTATGTC